TATGATTGATGAAGTAGCCCGTGAGTTGGATAGATTGAGCCAACCCATTGAAGAAGAAATAATGTTCAGCGTTGAAGATGATGACGATGACTATGAGGGTGAATATGATGCGGAAGAAATAGAAGAAATGCAAGAAGCAGAAGATGAACCGCAAGTATATCCTGACGAGGAAGATGATGTTCGTGCAGGAGTGAGGTTTGAAGAAGTCCCCGTGTTGAGTACAACAGATGATTCAAATAAAGATGAGAAAAGGAGAACACAAAGTGGACGATCATTTTATTCAAACGGAGTCAAGTATCGACCCACAGATAGGAATCAAACTGACAAGCCAAGACATGGTCAGACGTACTTACAACGAAAGAAGCCCAAGATCAATTTGTTAAAGAACAGGAGTGCCATGAGAAAGAAGGCACGGTTGAAGAGATTACATATCTCATTATACCAGGCTATCGCATCAAAGGTAAAATCACGAAAGAAAGGAGAGTTTCGAGATGACAACGTGTTGAGCGCTGAAGCAGGAAGAAAGATAACCCAACGGGCGCATAACTTGATGTTCCAGCAGTGTGGAACTGAGAAGAAAGCGACTTACAATGTGGATGAGTCGTTGGTGATTCACGCGTCATGCAACAGATTCGTGACGAGGTGTACACAAGAGAAGTAGTGTCATTTATTCAGCGGTATTATCTTAACAAAGGATTAAAGATTTTCAAAGAACGAGGAAAAGAAGCTGCACTAAAGGAACTTGATCAACTGATCAAACGAAGTTGTTGGACACCCATCAGCATTGGTGAATTGACTGAATCCAAGAAGAGGAAAGCAGTCGATGCAATGATGTTACTGGCAGAGAAAAACAGTGGTGATATCAAAGGCCGTTTTGTGTATAAAGGAAATGAGACAAGAGACTGGCTGTCTAGAGAGGACACAGCTAGTCCAACTGCATCGCATGAAGGTATCTGTTGCACAGGAGTGATTGACGCGCACGAAGGTAGATGCATGATGTCAATGGACATTCCAAACGCATTCATTCAGACCTTGATGCCAGATTTAGGTGATGGAGAAGATCGGGTGATCATGAAGGTAACTGGACTGATGGTCCAATATATGATCGATTTGGACCCGACCTATCGCGATTATGTTGTTTATGAGAATGGCAAGAGAGTGATCTATGTTGTGATCCTTCGTGCCATATATGGGATGTTGCAGGCCTCGTTGCTGTGGTATCAAAATCTGAGAGCTTCTCTAGAGGAGTATGGCTTTGTTTTTAATCGATATGATCCCTGCATTGCCAACAGAATGGTTAATGGCAAACAATTGACAATCAGGTTCCATGTTGATGACGTTTTGGCGAGTCACATGGAACAACAAGTACTTGAAGATTTTTTCACATGGGTGAATGAGAAATATGGTGGCTTAAAAGAGGTCACATGTACTAGAGGTAAAGTTCATACTTATTTGGGTGTGACATTGGATTTTTCAAAGAAAGGAAAAATGAAAATTCGCATGGATGATTATGTGGATCGCATGCTGAGTGAGTTTCCAGTCAAGTTTAAGGACAATGAGGTCCAGGAGACACCAGCCGGAAATAATCTACTGGAGAAAGGTAAAGGGGCACCGCTTGAGAAGGAACGACATGAAATGTTCCATTCGTTTGTTGCCAAATCGTTATTTTTGTCAAAACGTGCTCGTCTGGACATCAGTCCAACAGTATCGATTTTAGCATCAAGGGTGCAATCTCCGAATCTGGGTGATTGGCACAAACTAGTTCGATTGATGAGATACATTCATTCTACGAAAGGATGGCATCTGACATTGAGCGCTGATGATTTGCGCGTGATTAAGTGGTATGTCGATGCATCATTTGCTGTTCATCCAGACTTCAAAAGTCATACTGGAGCTGTGATGACAATGGGCACTGGAGCAGTGCAAGCAATTACACGAAAGCAGAAATTGAATTGTGACAGCAGTACACATGCTGAACTAATTGGAGTCCATGATGCCATGTCAAATATTTTATGGACCCGCTTATTTATGGAAGAACAAGGTTACCCAATCGAGAAGAATATACTATACCAAGATAACAAGAGTTCGATCCTACTTGAAACAAATGGGAGATCAAGCGCCGGGAAAAGGAGCCGTGCGCTAAATATCCGGTATTTCTTTGTGACAGATCAAGTCAAATTGGGCAACATTACTATTGAACACATGCCAACTGATGAAATGTGGGCAGATTACATGACAGAGCCTTTACAGGGCGAAAAGTTTCGCAAATTCCGGGCTGTAATCCAAGGTGAGCAGGATTAGTCCTGATAATTGATCTTGGATATTCTACTTATATTGAGAGGTAATGTTTTCGTTCCATCCACTGGAGTCGCTGGTGAAACGACAGGAGTGTGTTGGAGGTATTGATATACTGAGCAATCATGTTGGTCGATTATTGATCAATGATCTATGTGACGTGACACGGCAGTGACGTGAGTGTCGAGCATGCGTAGTATGAAACGCAGTATGTCCGAACGAGTCAACACATAGAAGGGTAATCAAGAATGAGAATCGTGAGAATTTGTAATATGATCCTGAACTTCAATCGAGAGTCTCACTATCGATTGAGTTCTGGCAAGAATAGTATTGTGGACATTGAGGTCCAAGCAAGTATAGGATATAAAGTAAGACCTTTGATTGAATAAGACTATTGCTTATTCCAGAGGCTGAGGCCCAGAGTCGCTGGTGCCCAAAGACAAACCATAGCCAACGTAGATTCGATCTCAGGGACTGCTCATTGAAACAGACAGGGCGTTGAGGCTCCCATTCAGGTCTGTAGAGCAGGTCCATCTGACAGATCGACTTCAATGCGATCGCTCCAAGATTGAACGCTCCAACTCAAACTGAAGCTGTTGCAAGAGAAACAGAGATGGCTCAAAACAAGATTCTCTATTCTGCAAAGCTCGACGAGAACATGCGAAGATCAGCATACTTTGAGACAAACAAGAGAACCGTCAAATCAAACATCATGCTGAAGTTTGTGACGAAGGCGATGGATATCAAGCTTCGAGGTGAAGCCGATTTCACGACTACTCTTGAAGATCCTATCGAACTCTTGAAACGTATTGAACGATTCATGAAGAAGAGTGCTGATGCTGAGTATGATTTCTTGGATTTCTGGGAAGCAAATCAAAAGTTCTTTGCTATGAAGCAAGGAACAACCGAAAACTTGATGCATTTCAAGGAACGATTCTTGAGACAGGCCGAAGTCCTGCAAGATCTATATGGCGTGGCCTGGTTCCAAGATTTTGCAGTCAAGATGAAAGCGTATGCTGCTATTGCTAACACCGATACTGCTGCTCAAAACAAGTTCAAGGATGTTGTCTTTGAAGCCGTTCTTGCAACAGGATTTCTATGCAACAGCAATCAAACGAGAACAGCTCCTCTGATGCTGGATCTTCAGACAAACTATTGCAGAGAAGTGGATTATTATCCAAAGACGGTCAGCAAAGCACAAGATATGTTGAGAATTCAGATGGAAGTGAGTAAAACTCCGGGAGTGAACCTCTACCAAGGAAAAGACCAACCTAATAAAGGTAAAGGTAAAGGAAAAGGGAAGGGGAAACCAAAGGATGGAAAGAAGGCAGCATGTTATGTATGTGGCAACAAAGACCATATGTCTCCAAAATGCCCAGATAGACTGCTACCAAAGACCCAATGAAAGAATCAGGATCAATATGTTGACTATGGGAAGAAGCTCAATCTTAATCAGATTGGAGCAACTGTCCCAGCTACTGTTCCAGCTATAGTTCCTGGAGCTTCAGCATCCACAAGTGGAGCATCAAGTG